GTAGTGTGTTTGTGCTTGTTTGTGCACGTGTGCATGTTGGAAAAGCAGCATGTGAACTTAGTTGTGTTTCTTGTTTCTGTAATTTCATCTAAATCAGTGATATTGATTTTCTGGAATATGTAATGAGGTATGAGGTGATAATTCGTACCGGTTTTTGTTTATTAGCTTTAGGCCATATATTTTTACAGTTGTTTTTAAAGACCTGAGGAAGAAAGATATGTGAAATTAATGAAAAAAGTAAAATGACTTTTAACAAATGTTTTTCTTGGCCTTGAAATAGCAACAAGTACCCACCAGACCCTATCAAGGCTGATGGTAGATAATGCATACAAAAATCTTGCTTTTTACCAGTCAGTTATCTTTCAGCATTATTTTGCAGTCATTGCTGTCAGTTATGAGTTTGTTTTTCATTCTTTAATAATATAGTACTAAAACCCTGTAAAGATCCGGGTTAGAATTGGCCTTCACCAACCCATGCTTGTTGTAAGAGGCGACTAACGGGAAGACATGTCATCGTATCCCAATTGCGTAGATCGATGCTCATAATGTTGATCACTTGATTGTCTGGCCCAGACTCGATTATTTACACAGTACCACCATAAAGCTGGAATATTGTTAAGTACAGCGTTAAACAAAAATACAAAAACATGATAATAGTACTGAAATGGAAGTTGAAATTTTAACAAACTTATTTTAGACCACCCATACTAAATTTTAAACAGTCTTAAGTATGTACTTGACAGATGTGAATTGGAAATAGATGTCTTCACTGCTTGAATAATGTATCCTGGGAAGGTTTTTATGTATAGGTAAAATTGGTATTTTGCCATATGTACCGATATTGTTCCCCTGAGGGTAGTTACTGATAATCTGGTGGAAAGATGGGAATAATGATCAATACAGTCTGGAGAATCTGGGGTTTAATTGGAGCTTTTGCCATTTTCTTTAGAAAAGTTTGTTAATACTTTTGAATATTTAATAGTGTTTGGGATGATAGTCTTCAAACAACAGTGAACATGATGAAAAATTGATTTTTTTAGTAGATTTGACTTTTGGATTAGATTTAAAGTAGAAATAATGAAGTCACTGTGAATGCATTACAGTAGGAATATTGCTGAGTGAGGCAGTAAAGAACAAACAAATATGCATTTTCAACTAACTTTTTATACTCAAGGTACTAAATTACTCAAAGTATCAGGTGTTTCCGAGATTGTACTTGATGTAGAAATTTGACGATAGTATGCGCAGATGTATGCTGTGTACACAGAAAAAATACATTGCATCCCCAGGGATGTGCAGTAACATTCATTTGCACCCAGTTCTTAAATATGAAGTTCCTGTAATTGAAATTGTTATTATATCTTACAGAACATTTCATTACATTATGTAACTAATAGATATTTTAGTAACCTCGAAATATATTTCTGAGGTCTTTTTTACCTTTAGTTTTGTGGGTTAAGGTAAAACCCGAGGTTTCACATTGGCTCTGCAACTTACTCTTTGCATAATGTTTTTGAATCAATATGAGCACCATTTTGAGACACTGGCATGATTTATCAGCCAACAAAACATTGAAAATATACCGATATATCAAGGTGTTTCATTTTAGTCTTTTAGAGGTGAGAAATGTTTCCTGAACATTGAAAACTTGTTGATTCAAAATGCTTGATATGAACCATTAAGAATTCACTGTAAGTTTGTGTGGGCATTCCTTAACACATTTGTCATGTTCTCGTACGGACAGATCATTGTGACACAAATATGTTAATCATTAACATTATAATTAGCGGTAGTTTGGATATATACTATTCACACTTTGCTCAGGATCAAATCATTGATTCAACAGAAAACTATGATGTGGGGTCTAATTTGGTTTAAATAGCTAAGCTTATTGTAAGCATGGATCCTAGGTTTCAGTATCTTGTCACTGCATCTTGTGGATCCCATACCTGCTATTGACAGGTGTTGTGTGCTTGTCAATGACCCGTGTGATGATTTACAAAATGGTTGATTGGTGCCATGAAAACCATTTTTATGGTTACTCATGTATCAAGTGCATAAGGTTAGAATAAAGTGGCTGTTTGCCTAAAGAGGGGTTACCATATTATTATTTATCCAGTTTTAAATGGATACAATTTCAAATTATAAATCTATGTTTAAGTAAAGTTGGGAATTTTTGTGATTCTTAGCAAAGTGTCAGTAGTATAAAACATCATCATGATCATTGAATGCACAGAATTCTGGTATCATATGAAACTGTTGCATCAACAAGATTATTCAGGTCGCTGATTTGTTTCTCCAGTGTTGTTAAATAATGATAGTGATAGTCATAAGGGGTGAAACTGTATATTGTGGTATTAGTAGAACCGCAGTATTTTGCTTCCAGCTCAGTATACCGTAATGCAATCCAAAAATTCGTCATTTTCGGTTTTCGTACTATCATTTTATTAACCTTTTTAAACCTTTTCTAAAATGTCTAGAAATCAAATCATTTTGTCAAAATCTACGCATTTCTTGGCAAGATGAACGCTATTTTCCCGGGAGTAAGTTCTCATATACCGAACCGAAAGGGACCGAACTGACGGTCTTGTACCGCAATATGCATTGTACCGTGGTAAGAGCATACTGTTTCACCCTTAATATTCATATGGATAACTGAATAGGACAGTTAAGGACTGGTTTCTCTGGAGGGAGGAGGTAAGGAGGGTGTAGACATTAACTTTTCATGAAAGTCGGACACTTAACAATAAACAGTAATTTACTTGTAGATGTTGGTGCCATGAACATGATCCAACTTATCCATGGTCTGAGACAAGTGTTCATTTTTGACCCCGGTTCCTGATAGTATTTGTACAAGAGAGTGTTTTGTTTGTTGTTATGTCCCACTCAGCAGTGTTCCGACCTTGTTGAAGCATCCTTTGTATATTCATGTCTGGACCAGACTATCCTGTGATTAATCCATTAATCCACACTGTCGGTAACCCCCCATGGTAACCCCCCCATTACCCCTACATGCCACTACCCCTACAGCCCAGTACCCCAACAATTAGTTAAAATAACACACGGCATGTAGGGGTTATGGGATACAACCAAACTGTCGGGATATGACATGCAATCAGCCGCGTCACTGAGTCAGAGATCTTGACCCATCAGGTTACGGCTAACGAAATGAATATGAATATTCCGTTGTTCACTGTTCCACTGTTCAACATCACTGTGGCGTAACACTGTCTCAACATAACACAGTCTCAACATACCACAGTCTCAACGTAACACAGTCTCAACATAACACAGTCTCAACATAACACAGTCTCAACGTAACACAGTCTCAACGTAACACAGTCTCAACATAACACAGTCTCAGTCTCAAGTCTCAACGTAACAACATAACACAGTCTCAACATAACACAGTCTCAACGTAACACAGTCTCAACATAACACAGTCTCAACGTCACACAGTCTCAAGTTGACCATGGTATGATACAAGCAGAGTGTAGAGTGTTAATCCTCCGTGTCGAGTTTTCCAGGTAAAATATTGAACTAGGTGCACCAATGCACTGCATCTTTTTCTGTACCAGATAAGTCTGGTTGCATGCAGAGCTGATTACCTCCATCACCAGATCTATCTAGACAAAGTAATCATTGCTTTCAGATCAAATAATTAATCACTAGTTTTACTGATGCTCACTGTTCACTATGGAAAGTAGGTTTACTGATGCCACTGTGATTTGCCTATCGTTGTCTTTTCCTTATTTTCTCTAAGGAAAGTAGTTAAGGCAGCCACTGTGATTTGCATGTCATTATAATTTTATATTTTCCTTATTTTCGTTAAAGAACTTAGTACTTAAGGCTGACATAGTGTATTGCATGCTGTGTTTCTGTGTCTGTGGAGAGAATGGGTGAATGAATCACTGTTTTGGATAAAAGTGTATTTGATTTTGACTGTGGAGATTGGTGTGCTCATCTTCACAGTGAAAGTATTGGATTGATTGCATTTTGAAAATGAAATTTAACAGTGTTGTAGATTGTTGTCAGGGGATTTTTCGCAGCAAGATGCAGGATTAATATTTTCAGATTTTAGAAAACACATTTCTCCACAATCTCTTTCACTTCAGCATGTTTAGGTTAATAACTTGATATTAATATTATTGTAGTTCTGGTTTGTCCTAGTTATGCATTTGTAGGTTTGTCTACATCATATCTGTGCATGTGGTGTTTGGCTAAATGGTAAACAATAGTGTAGACATGTATCGCTTTGGGCTTTCTCATGTTAAAATGACATGCTGTGATGCAACTGGAATACTGCTGAAAGCTGCGTTAAAACTCAACTGACTCACTAGCTCACTGCCTGCCTACAGGGAGGGGTTCTGAGTTTATTCATGTTGTGGGACCAAGTTGGCTGCCAAAAATATTTGTATATATTTAATGGAAAGCCATGGGGATTCTGGGTCAGCGGCATCATCCAGGCAGCATGTTCTTGTCATAAGACCCAACTAAATGGATTAGATGGTCTTACTTGGTGTCTATCTAAGGTCAGGGGTGGAAATAAGTTTAAAATTGCTAGTGTACTCCCGTACAGTGGCACATGTAAAATCACTTGCTCTGATAACTTTTCTTCTATACCAGCCATTTTCTTGTTGATTTTTTAAATAAACAACATAATTAACATCGGAAAGTCAACTGGACACCGATACAGTGTGATATACAAATTTGCTTGCCCGACAGAAAAAACCACTGGACTCGGACGTTGGGCAATGGGTTATTTCCACCCATGTAAGGTGCTCATGTTATCGATCACTGGTTTGTGTGGTCCAGACTTGATTAGCTACACACCTCTATCATATACATGGAACACTTGGAACTGCAGTTTGAAACAACTAACAGGTCAGGTAGGAGGTTCGTTTCATGATTGTGAGTGTTGATTATCATGAGGCAGCATGACCTGAAGGTTATATGGTTATATAATGAGGGTGTTAACGTCTTTCACTCACTCACTCCAGAGAGAAGACCGAGCTACTGTTCAACCAGCTGAAGAGGGAGCTGTTCAATGCCTCTAACACCATGGACGAGCTGTACAGCCTCCTTGTAGAACTCAAGGCAGCCACCGAAAAGAATTTTGCTCTTAAGAAACTCTTCTGGAGGGTGAGTTTGAGTGGAATCAAACTTAAATTACTGCATCATATGCAGATACTCAAGTGAATGCCAATAGCTTACATTGCAAGTCCCATTTCTCATCTGGTAACAGATACTGTACAATGGCAATTCAGTAGTTCAGGTCAGGTAGGAGGCTAATGGTTAATACATTTGCTCATCATGCTGAGGGCGTTTGGGTAGCCTAGTGGTTAAAGTGTTTGCTCGTCATGCCGAAGACCCGGGTTCGATTCTCCACATGGGTACAATGTGTGAAGCCCATTTCTGGTGACCCCCGCCATGATATAGCTGGAATATTGTTAAAAGCGGCATAAAACTGAACTCACTCACTCACTCACTCATCACGCTGAAGACACAGGTTCGATTCCCCACATGTGTGAAGCCTATTTCTGCTGTCCCCCTGCCATGATATTGCTGGAATATTGCTAAAAGTGGCGTAAAACCATACTCACTCACTCACTGATGGTGTTGGTATCATTGTAAGATGTTGATAACATTAATCAGGATGTTGATATTGTTGATGACTACTGCTGCTGATGTCATTGATGACGATAATGTGGCTTATGTTCATTCTGGTTACTAGGTAAATGCTTGCTTGTTATTTGGCAGAACTCGGACCTCTTCCTGTTCATGGTGCGCCACCTCCAGAAATATCTGCCCAAGTCTCCTAGCAACCTGTCCACTGATGAAGGGAGGGCTTCCAGATCTGACGAGTTTGAGTGAGTTGTGATGAAGAAAATAGTACTTGTCAAACACTGTGTGTACTTGTATAACATAACTGAATAATATTATTTGCAGTTACTCTCCTGTTTACTTAAGCAGGGTTTGATTTAGTGCTTTGTTACTTGCACTGGTGCAACCCAATATTACAGAGTGCAACCTAGTTATTTGTCTAACTTGCACCAGGTGTAAGTCAATTTTTGAGAAATATATCAACAATAAATCTAACATTACAAGCATAATTATGTCAGCTCATTTTTCTTCTAAACTTTGAATAATTCAATAGCATATTTCTTTCATTACATATTGCAGTACAAGCAGTGCAATTGGAATTTGGCTGGTGCAACTAGGTTTTTATCTTAGATTGTACCTGGTGCAAGAATGTTAACGTCTCTTAAATTGAGCCCTGATAAGGTTTATAGTATTTATGGACCTGTGAAGATTCATAAACCCATGCTTTGTCGTAAGAGGCAACCTATGGGATCAGGTGGTCAGGCCCGCTGAGTTATTTGACACATCACTGTATCCAAAATGCATAGATAGATGCTCATGATGTAGGTCACTGGATTGTCTAGTCCAGACTTGATTATTTACAGACCACTGCCATATAGCTCGACTACTGACTGACTGAGTTTGGTTTTACACCGCTTTTAGCAATATTCCAGCAATATCATGGCGGGGGACACCAGAAATGGGCTTCACTCATTGTACCCATGTGGGGATTCGAACCCGGGTCTTTGGCGTGACAAGCCAACACTTTAACCACAAGACTACCCCAGCTCGACCACTGCTGAGTGTGGCGTTAAATAACATACAAACACAAACGTCATAGTTTTTATGAGGTCCCATCTGTATTGCATTCTGTGTGATGAATTAAAATATATGATGGAAAATTGTGAAAATTGACTACTTCTCCTTTTGGAATCAACAGATTGGTTGATAATGTTTCTCTAATGACCTATAGTTGCATCAATCTGGCTGGTTTAAATGTATGTTAAGAGTGACCAGTGAATTCCTGTCTATTGAATCAACTATTTGATTTAACTCGGGTTTTTTATGTTTGATGTTTAATATTGCTTTTGATTAATTGTTTTTCAATTATTAATGTTTCATTACCAGAAATAAAATAATCTTATTGAATATATATCCACAAATGAAAACATATAGAACCCAGAAAGAGCCAGAACAATTAAAGCTAAGGAAATGTAGACCTAATCATTCTAGACTTGGGTTGGACTCATTTTTTAATTTATTCACTTGGGTCTGGCAGACAGACAACTAACTTTCTCGCAAGAGCAAGTCATATCTCGAGGTTTTGGTTGAAGTAGACATAAAATCTGTGCTGCAGGTTTGTGATTCTGCTGGTGGAGATTCTCAGCCTGATGTTCAGGGAGACAGAGATCATACAGGGCAGGATACAGACACTCAAAGCTGAGAGGTAACCTAACACTGGATCCTGATAGTATCTTGTTATTTGGATTGGTTTGTGGTTGTAAACATGTAATGAACACTCTTGAATTTATTTTCACATTTATTTTATATTTTACCTGATATTGCTGTTGCACATAGGACAAACCCGAGCCTTAGGCTGATATGAATGCTTATTCAACCATATATTTGGAAATAATTGATTCTGATTGGTCTATAAGAGGTTTCAAATCACAATGACCACCACCTATTTGTCAAAATGATTTGCCTGGTTTAGAAATATAATGTAATGGAGGGTAATATCACACAGAAGTGGAAGGTAAGGTTTAGTTTCACTGAGAAAATATCCTAAAACTTGTGACACTATTTCGATTTGCATAGCGATTGTTTGTTTACATAGGTTGTGCAGCTCCACATGCTATCATTGAAGCCAACAGAGAGCAAATGATGTAGCCACTTTTATATATAACTATGTTTTGTTATAAACCTTATTGTCGCGGTTGTAGAAAAATATCTATGTAACAATGTAAAACATTATAAAGAGTGCACCGAAAAGTTTGCATTAGGTCAGTCCCTTCTTATTTACAAATATGCGCGTTTGTTTTCAAACAATACAAAAGTCGAGTCATGTGATATAAATTAGCCTGTGGCGGTGATGTTATGCTAAGTCATCACTGCGCCGGAGTGTTGGTATATCATTGTTCTAGCACTCGTACAAACAGAATACATGCCCATGAATGTCACTTTACATGTGCACGCAGTTATCTTGAAAGTGAAATTCCATGATTTGTTCGATTAATGAAATTGTTACCAATCACGTATCTAACTTTTGTCAACAGGGGTAAGGCTGTCCTTGACCTCTTAATGGCCTTGACCTGTGTTCCTGACCTGCCAGAGAAGCCCTTATCTCCAAAGAAGGTCATGAAGTCGGGTATTGGTGACCAGCTGATGGAGAAAGTGTCTGACGAAGATGTGAGTAGACTTCATGTTCCAGACTCCAGAACAGGAATATAGCTAGTTCGGCTCATAGACCAATAGCCCCCGTCTGCAGCAAATATCAGTAAAAACGGACACTGTATTCCACTGACAGCACACACGATAAAGAGTGAATGTGATGTCTACCCACAGGTTAACACCGGCCACTTTGCCTGCAAAGGGCACTAAATTTGGAATCCGAGCTGTCTCTCATGAAACAAGATTTGCACATAACACATGTTATAACTGGGATTAAACTTTCTCAGTAAAGTACAGATTCTAATAATTCTCTCAGGTTGAGTCCCATCTAGGATTCGAACCCACCCTGCTAGAGTCAGGCACCAAGTCAGGCACTAATTTGCATAAGTGTCTTTCTGCAGGTGCATCACAACTCTATATTAGTTGACGGCAAAGATGAGATATTGTAAGGGAGAAACAATGCATTTTACATATTTCTTACTTAGATAAATAACCCCTAAATTCAAGTGAAAACACTCCTCTTTGAAACATTAATGGGGGCGGTGGAGTAGCCTAGTGGTTAAAGCGTTCAAGACCCGGTTCGAATCCCCACATGGGTACAATGTGTGAAGCTTTCTGGTGTCCCCGCTGTTTGCTGGAATATTGCTAAAAGCGGCGTAAAACTAAACTCAGTCAGTCAGTCAGTGAAACATTAATGCATATTCAATTGCAAATAATAATTGAATTTATGAAGGGATTTGGTTGGATTCATGTAATACAAATCGTAACAGCCCTAGTCAGTCCCTCTTGGATTCCGCAGCAAATTTAAATAAATTCTGCATCCCATTTTTCTAAATTCTCAAAGAATTCTGCTGTTAATACTTGATAAAGCCCCTACAAAACAAGATGAAGAATGTCAAACTTTAATTCTTAAGCACAAAGCTGTAACTGTTTCGAGCTTCATGACATTCAAGGTACAGCCGGCAGTTAAGTTTTTCTTGCAAGATGTTTTTTAGATTTAGAAAGATGATCTGAAACAGTATTCTTACCAGTGTGATCGGGAATGACATTACAAACTCTTCAAAATATCGTTTTGTTTGATAGTCAGTCTTAGTTTCTGTGACAGAAAACTGGCAAATTCTACAGATATTCTGCATGAAAATGCATTTTCCGCGGACCAGACGTTTTTATGCATTAAAAGGTAATTTCCATGATTTATTTTGCAACCTCGAAATCGCGGAATCCACGGAGTCCAGGAGGGACTGCCTAGTACTCACCAGTCATGTGATCTGAGGCCTGGGTAACCCGCTGGTGTAAGTTGCCTCCCTTGGTTGTACCAGGATCCCTGAATGATATTGAGCATATCAATATTTTTGTTATCTTTGGTGAACATTATCCCAAGTATTCATAAACATGAGCTAAATATTGAAAATCATGACAGTACATATGGCATTCTTAGATTTGGTTCGCACTAATGAGCGTCATATTTTGCTTCAGCTTGCCAAGCTTGTGGAGGAGCTCACCAAAACAGCCATTAAAGCAGTCTTTGAGCTGTTTCTCATGGCCAGACAAGTAAGTGAAGTTTTTCAGAATCCAGGGCCCGTTTCACAAAGCAATCATAGTGCTACGACTGTCGTAAGTCTATGTTATAGTATGGGAATTTCTATCACCATAGCGCTACGATCGCTTTGTGAAACGGGCCCCCAGAACTGTAATCAGACATTCTGTTAATTCAAGAATTACTGAATGAGTTGTGACAAACGGAAATGGAAGAATGTTTTTAAAAATCATAAGTAGGTTCCTTGCATCCTCTAACTAAATATGTTAAATATTGAATTATAATACAATACTTACGTCATCAGTATTGCAAATGGAATATTATAATCTACCCAGGTATACTGCTGATCAACTGCCGACTTTCATTGGTGTTTTTATGGATATACAACTTCTCTAAGAATAAAGAAGTTGTATATCCATAAAAATAGTCCTCATTCTTCATCTACCCAGCTTCAATCAAAGAATTTCATTGGTGTTGTCCTTCCCAAAAGATGATGAACATTGCTGATGATATTAATCTTTGGTTTGCTGAAATATAATTGTACGTGCTGTAGACAAGTAACTATAATATTGCTGAGCATAAAAAAAGAAAATGATGTCTTATCTCATCTTATATTCTTTAACTTCATACTCAGCAATATAACAGTAAAATGTCGACAGCCTGTATAAATCGTATCTGGTCCAGACAAACCAAACCAAGAATCACACAACCAAATCTTAAGCGGCCTTCACAAAATTAAAATTGTAAAAGTTGTCAAACTCGGTTTTCACATGTCAAACACATGTTGTCAAACTTTCATGTCATTTTAGCACCATGTCTCATGTTGGTCGAGTTGACCAGACGACCATAATATCACGTGACAATTCGTTGAATATGATTGGTTGTTTCTGAACAATAAGAGTTTGACAACACTTCACACGTCAAGCTCAAGTTTGACAACACCAAAAAGTTTGATGGAAAAGTTGGTGAGAACAGAGACCGATCCTATTTCTCGACAACAGTTTGACAACTCTGAAATTGGTATTGGTGGCAGGTTGTTGGAATGTTCACACTCTCAAACTGTGTTGTCAAAGTTTAGTTTGCCATGTGAAGGCTGCTTTAGCCTTCTGATTGTGTTGTGTGTCATTTTGGAATGAGGTGTTGATACTTTTATAACGCTGCGTCTGTTGTCCACCAGGCTAACTGGAACCACAGCGAGGGCAACTTCTTCAACATCAGTTGGATGGTGCGGGTCCTGGAGGAGATTCGCACGACGGTGAGTACACACAGATACTTGTATACACTGTTTGGAAGAAAAAGGGGGTGGTTTGCTAGACTGATAGTAAAAGCGCTCGCTCGTCACTCGAAGGCCCGGTTTTGTTTCCCCACATGGGTACAATGTGTAAAGCCCATTTCTGGTCCACTCTTCCAGAATGACATGCTTGTTTACAAGTGGAGGTTCCTGTTAAGATTAGGTCCCCAATAACCCATGCAGACTGAGTATTATATTTGCACGTGACAACAATCAAGCAAACGTTAAAGGGGCACTGATCCAGAGCAATTAATGTTTCTAGCCAACAGTCTGATTATGAAACCAAGCTGCAGGATAGTCGGTACCTGCTCACTCGACCGTGACGGACACAGGGACTGGGCTACTGTCCACCATGGCAGAATTTCTTCAACCTGAACAGTGGGACATTAGGAAGGGTGGATGCCCATCAGATGCCATTATTTGAAAATATCCTCGATAGTTCTTGTCTGATTGTAGTATCCCAGCAGTGTAGGCTTTTTCAGATTGTCTGATGCTTGGATGGTATAATGACTGGTCCAATTTGATCCTATTTCTGTGCTTTTTACCTCAATATTTAATCATGTCATGTAAAAATATGGTGTGTATTACCTATGCAGTGCCCCTTTAACAAACAATTACAAATCATGGACTAGACATCATAATCAGCACCAAAGGAAAGTCTGCTACTGCGTCATCGTTTAACCTTTAACCTGATAGCTGTTTCGATAGATCTAACTCATCCTAATTATCTTGTGCATATGCATTTGTTGAAATGAAGAGGAAAGTTACATCTGTCTATAAATGACATTTGGAAGTCATACACGTAATGAAGAAATATTTATGGATTCATTGTGTTTTTCAGGAAAAATTTGTAGAGCGAGTAATTGGCCAGATGATGGAGCTGATTTCACCGGCCAAATTTGACACATTGGCTCCAGAGGAAGGTGTTGCCCTCTACCAGCAGTTCTCGTTACTACTGACGTTCCTAGAGTACAGTCCACGCATCACCAAGTTCATCAAGCAGCAGTACCATGAGGAATTCAAGTAGGTCTCACAGGGCTTGTCTCACGGGGCTTGTCTCACGGGGAATAGAACCCAGTTAAACATGCTTGTCTCACGGGGAATAGAACCCAGTTAAACATGCTTGTCTCATGGGGAATAGAACCCAGTTAAACATGCTTGTCTCACAGGGAATAGAACCCAGTTAAACATGCTTGTCTCACAGGGAATAGAACCAAGTTAAACATGCTTGTCTCACGGGGAATAGAACCCAGTTAAACATGCTTGTCTCATGGGGAATAGAACCCAGTTAAACATGCTTGTCTCACGGGGAATAGAACCCAGTTAAACATGCTTGTCTCACAGGGAATAGAACCAAGTTAAACATGCTTGTCTCACAGGGAATAGAACCAAGTTAAACATGCTTGTCTCACGGGGAATAGAACCCAGTTAAACATGCTTGTCTCACGGGAATACCCAGTTAAACATGCTTGTCTCATGGGGAATAGAACCCAGTTAAACATGCTTGTCTCACAGGAATAGAACCCAGTTAAACATGCTTGTCTCACAGGGAATAGAACCCAGTTAAACATGCTTGTCTCATGGGAATAGAACCCAGTTAAACATGCTTGTCTCACAAATAGGAACCCAGTTAAACATGCTTGTCTCACGGGAATAGAACCCAGTTAATCATGTCTCAAGGGGAATAGAACCCAGTTAAACATGCTTGTCTCACAGGGAATAGAACCCAGTTAAACATGCTTGTCTCACGGGGAATAGAACCCAGTTAAACATGCTTGTCTCACAGGGAATAGAACCCAGTTAAACATGCTTGTCTCACAGGGAATAGAACCAAGTTAAACATGCTTGTCTCACAGGGAATAGAACCCAGTTAAACATGCTTGTCTCACGGGGAATAGAACCCAGTTAAACATGCTTGTCTCATGGGGAATAGAACCCAGTTAAACATGCTTGTCTCACAGGGAATAGAACCCAGTTAAACATGCTTATCTCACAGGGAATAGAACCCAGTTAAACATGCTTGTCTCATGAGGAATAGAACCCAGTTAAACATGTCTCACAGGGAATAGAACCCAGTTAAACATGCTTGTCTCACAGGGAATAGGACCCAGTTAAACATGCTTGTCTCATGGGGAATAGAACCAAGTTAAACATGCTTGTCTCACAGGGAATAGAACCCAGTTAAACATGCTTGTCTCACAGGGAAGAGAACCCAGTTAAACATGCTTGTCTCACAGGGAATAGAACCCAGTTAAACATGCTTGTCTCACAGGGAATAGTACCCAGTTAAACATGCTTGTCTCACAGGGAATAGGACCCAGTTAAACATGCTTGTCTCACAGGGAAGAGAACCCAGTTAAACATGCTTGTCTCATGGGGAATAGAACCCAGTTAAACATGCTTGTCTCACAGGGAATAGAACCCAGTTAAACATGCTTGTCTCACAGGGAATAGAACCCAGTTAAACATGCTTGTCTCATGAGGAATAGAACCCAATTAAACATGTCTCACAGGGAATAGGACCCAGTTAAACATGCTTGTCTCACAGGGAATAGAACCCAGTTAAACATGCTTGTCTCACAGGGAATAGGACCCAGTTAAACATGCTTGTCTCACAGGGAATAGAACCCAGTTAAACATGCTTGTCTCACAGGGAATAGAACCCAGTTAAACATGTCTCACAGGGAATAGAACCCAGTTAAACATGCTTGTCTCACAGGGAAGAGAACCCAGTTAAACATGCTTGTCTCACAGGGAATATGACCCAGTTAATCATGCTTGTCTCATGGGGAATAGAACCCAGTTAAACATGCTTGTCTCACGGGGTTAGAATGGGACCTCAGCAACCTGTGCTTGTCTCATAGGGTTTGAATGGGACCTCAGCAACCTGTGCTTGTCTCATGGAGTTAGAATGGGACCTCAGCAACCTGTACTTGTCTAACAGAGTTAGAATGGGACCTCAGCAACCTGTACTTGTCTCACAGAGTTAGAATGGGACCTCAGCAACCTGTGCTTGTCTCATGGAGTTAGAATGGGACCTCAGCAATCTGTACTTGTCTCATAGGGTTAGAATGGGACCTCAGCAACCTGTGCTTGTCTCATAGAGTTAGAATGGGACCTCAGCAGTCTGTACTTGTCTAACAGAGTTAGAATGGGACCTCAGCAACCCGTGCTTGTCTCATGGAGTTAGAATGGGACCTCAGCAGTCTGTGCTTGTGTCATAGAGTTAGAATGTGACCTCAGCAATCTGTGCTTGTCTCATAGAGTTAGAATGTGACCTCAGCAGCCTGTGCTTGTCTCATGGAGTTAGAATGGGACCTCAGCAACCTGTGCTTGTCTCATGGAGTTAGAATGGGACGTCAGCAATCTGTACTTGTCTCATAGGGTTAGAATGGGACCTCAGCAACCTGTGCTTGTCTCATAGAGTTAGAATGGGACCTCAGCAATCTGTACTTGTCTCATAGAGTTAGAATGGGACCTCAGCAACCTGTGCTTGTCTCAGGGTTAGAATGTGACCTCAGCAACCTGTGCTTGTCTCAGGGTTAGAATGGGACCTCAGACCTCAGACCTCAGACCTCAGATAAAGATCTTGATTATCCTTCAGATTATCTTCACAGGGCACTGCCATTTTATTTGAAACAAATGCAAGTGATAAGGTAGTTGGAATCTGATTGGTCATTTGGACGGACATAAAAGGGAAATAACTCAAAATAGCCACTGGTGCAAGCATCGGAACTGGACTTTCACAGTTAACTCCCTTGCCTCAGGAAGTTATAGTATAGATGTCTGTGCTGTCTCATTGGGGATTAAGTGTAAAAATAGGACCTCCAGGGAAATATGCTTGCTTCATATGAAATTCTGGATTGGAATAAGACTATAGCAACATATTCTTGCCTTTTGAGATATCTATGTTTGCCATGTAAAATTCTAGCAAGCCATTCTTCTCTCATAGAACATTCTGAATTAGAAATATGGCCCAAGAAATGTATGCTTGTCTCATTGGTGACAATCCAACTGAGAAATAATGGTAGAGAGGTACCTAGCAGTTCAGTTATTTGCAAGTACGTGAAGCCCACTTTTTACTCACCCCTTTTGTGATGTTTGTTGAATATTTTATAAAATTGTGCTCTTGCGTTCACTCAAAAACAAGAAAAATATTGTGTTTCAGATATTTTATCCAAGTGCCGAAAGTTGCAAGGAAGCTTCCCCCTCAATACCCTGTGTCCACTTCAACCAGGAACATCATGGACCAAGTCATTGCCAAGGTGCTCAGCCACAGCCGTTCCTCGTCACGCTCACCCAGGTAACAACACCCACTTGTCTCAAGCTGTGAACTACTACTGCTACTACCACTACCACTACTACTACTACTACTACTGCTATTACCACTACTACTACTACTACTACTACTACTACTACTACTACTACTACTACAAATTCCTCGTGAAGATCGAGGTTAAAATTGGTCAGGTGGTCAGGCTCTCTGGCTTGGTTGACCCATGTCATCGTATCCCAATTTCGTAGATCGATGCTCATGCTGTTTATCACTGGATTGTCTGTTCCAGACCGTCACCATATAGCTGGAATATTGCTTAGTGCGGCGTTAAACAGCAAACCAACCACCTAATACTACTTATACTACTACTCCCACATGGGTACAATATGTGAAGCCCGTTTCTGGTGTCTGCCGCCGTGATATTGCTGGAATATTGCTAAAAGCGGTGTATAACAAAACTCATTGACTCACTCACTACTACTGATATTAAATGAGAACAGCATGTTTTAGACATCAGTTTGTGTTTATTTCACAGGTAGCTCATTGTTTCAAACATGTCTGGATGTTGTTCTCCTCCTCTCTGTCCTTCTTTCAGGTAGTCCCTGTGTCTGCAGCACCTCCATGACAATCCCAGACAGCTGTGGCCAAACCTTGTCCAGTTCCACAACAAAGTCAATTTAGTTCCTCTAGGAGGGCATATGTCAAAACCTTTCCACATTCCTTCAGTCTAACCCAGTATGTATCTGATTGGTATTGACATCAGATCTCACAATCAGCGTTTAGGTCTCGAACACATCTGTCTAACAGTTTTCAATCTTAAGTTATTTATTGTCTCATAGATGTCTCACATAGTGTAAATATTTCATTGAAATTATGGAGAGTGTATTGATTCACTTGACCAAAGTATAAACCACAGATATATTGTCTCAGCAAATTAACTATATATTCATGAGTTCGTTTCATTCATCTGTAAGTCACTTGATTGTCTGACCTTTGTCATATAGCCGTGTATGAAATAAACCAAAAACCCAGCCAGACATCAGGGTTGGTAACTTCAAAATGTTACCAGCCCAAAATGGATTTAACCAGACCAGACACCGAGATATGCTGTCAGATGTATGGAAAGTTTTTACCAGACCATCGGGCTGGCTAGCTGTAATTTTAGACCGTCTGTCAAAGATCTTGCCCATCTCGGGGGTCGGACAGCCTTATTTCATACACTGTATATAGCTGGAATATTGTTAAGTTTGGTGTTAAGCAACCAACATACATGGATGAAAATAGAGGTGGCCTGAAGGACATGACGAGAATGACAGATTAACAGTTGGTTCATCGTCCGTACTGGTGCACTTGCCAGAGTCCGTAGGGATCTTGACATGTTTGTGCAACAGGTTATCGGTTGCAATTTTTGTTACTTTTTCACAGAGAAAGAGAAATATGTCTTATATTAACCATTATTATGACATATTTGCAATGTTTGAGATATTACTAGTGTCCCTAGAGGGGGCAGTAAAGTAGCCTGGTGGTTAAAGTGTTCACTTGCCACGCCAAAGACCCAGGTTTGATTCCCCACATGGGTAGAATGTGTGGAGCCCATTACTGGTGTCCCCTGCGGGATATGGCTGGAATATTGCTAAAAGCGGTGTAAAACCCACTCACCGACTCACTGACTCACACCTTAGCTGCAACGCAAATACCTCAGTAAGACCAACACACTTTAGTTGATACATGTCACTAGTCCGTCCCGGGTTAGAATTGATCTTCAGCAACCCATGCTCGTCATAAGAGGCGACTAATGGGATCGGGGGGTCAGACTTGCTGATTTTGTTGACACTTGTCATCGTATCCCAATTGCATAGATCGATGCTCATGCTGTTGGTCACTGGATTGTCTGGTCCAGACTCAAATATTTACAGACCGCCGCCATATTGCTGGAATATTGCTGAGTGCGGCGTAAAACTAAACTCACCCACTCACTCTGATGGACCTCTGTGTTGTTGGTAGCATGCAAGCCCTACCTCAATAGCTATGTAGAAAAACTTGCCACGGGAAGAAATGGAAGGATTAATTCTGTCTGTGTGCCAAAACCCTTGAGCCCACTAGACTGAATTTTCAAAGCATCATTTTCAGATTTGAATGTTATATGGACTCTTTATTAACTGAGCTTACAAGACTGAAAAGCCTGTTTTTCAAAAAAAAATTGTTTCTGTTTGGTCCTGGGTTTAAAGTAGTAGGTTGCTAGCTGTATGTTAAGACAATACAGATCTAAAGATCTGTAGGCCACTTTATATGCCAGAACCACTAAGTGACTGTAGCGCTGTTGAAAGTATATGTTAAAGTGTGGGAGTTACGATCACCTTAGCTCTACGACTGTAACAAGTATATGTTAAAGTATGAGAGTTAAGATCACCTTAGCTCTATGACTGGAACAAACGTGTTCAAGTGTGGGAGTTACGATCACCTTAGCTCTACGACTGTAACAAGTATATGTTTAAGTGTGGGAGTTACGATCACCTTAGCTCTACGACTGTAACAAGTATATGTTAAAGTGTGGGAGTTACGATCACCTTAGCTCTAAGACTGGAACAAACGTGTTAAAGTGTGGGAGTTACGATCACCTTAGCTCTACGACTGTAACAAGTATATGTTAAAGTGTGGGAGTTACGATCTATGCTCTACGACATTCATTCTGTAAATTTCAGATGTTCTTTTGTGTCATCAATTTTAACATCAATGTATTTCATAGCTGCTCAAGGGAGAATGGGGTAAACCTAGTGGTTAAAATGGTCGCCCGTCACGCCAAAGACCTGGATTCAATCCCCACATGGGTACAATGTGTGAAGCCCATTTCTGGTGTCCCCAGCCATGATATTGCTGGAATATTGCTAAAAGCGGCATAAGACCAAGCTCGCTCACTCACTCACTCACTCATAGCTGCTCAAGTAGAATGATCCTGAATCAGTATCAGTGTGTCATTACACCAGCAGCACTGCCATTTGCACATCGTTTTAGAATCAATGCCACGTGTCAAGAGTTTTTCATATTTTCTACAAGTCAGATATATTTTATTTTTTGCCGATTTGTGTCAGTCTTGTGAGTGTATGATCAACAAATTTTGTCAGTGTTGACTTTTCTGAGATGTATTTTCACTTCTTTATACTGGTATGTATTACACATGTCGAGCTCAACAAATGGTCTCTTGTAGCACCTGTCATTTTCTATTCTAGTATCCTGTATTCTGACTGAATATATGGTAAAGGGTCCAAATTTATGTGTGCACACTATCAGGGCTTCAGTATTTTCTCCTTCAGCCCTTAACAGGGATACACTATCAAGATTTATGTGTGAGAGCAGTCAGGGCTGAGATATTCTCTCCTGCAGCCCTGAACAAGGATACAAAGATTTCACGTATAGCTTTCCTGCATTAGTTATGGCTTTATCCTATGAGTGATGGTGAATATACTTTGTGCTTATTGTGTGATATTCATGAGGGTTGTAAGCGTAAATTCAAATGAAATTGTTTTGAAATATTTAATTTATTGTGTATCTTTTATCATTGTTGATGGTTGAGTTGAAGCATAATGTCTGGTCATTTTCATGGTTTTAGTTCGTATCCACTAACACACTGCATGAAGAAACATTAGCAATCCTGAATAAATGTAAACTTATTTTTGTGATTTTGAAGTATGTGGCTCAGAATTGCTCGGCTTTTATGGCTTTTTGTCTCCTGCTGATTATCGAAACAGAAAACTGCTTTAACAATGTTATAGACCTCTATGTTTACATTTTTTGTAAATTTTATGTGATGTTTTCCTAATCTTTTTAAATGTTTTAATTTGTGCTCAATGCTAGCTGCTGCTGAATGTTGTATTTCAGAATTCCTTCTTAGATTTCTGTTACTGGGGACAATTAACTGTTCAGGATTGTCTCCCTTATGTATAATAGGATTCGATGGTCACGGGTTTGATATTGATGAACCTTGTTTATGATCATTGGTCAGTGTGTTTGAAATACCTCAGTCAGTAATCAGTTTGATACCAACACCTGTGACTTGCATCAAATGATTGAAGTGAGGTATCCCATTTGTGAAGAAGATTTTCTTCCTACCTAAATAATCTTGTCATATTTTTCTCAATGAAACGTTAAGTTATGCTCAAGTCTAATAGTCACAAGATTATTGGTGTATTTTTTTTTTCTTCAACCATGTTCTATAAATAGTTCATGTCCATATGACTTTTATTTCATGCTTTTTTTGTCTGCCACTGTGATATCAGTGATATCCAATGACTATATTTCCCCTCAACACATGTGGTTAAAGGGCTCGCTCATCACGTAGAGACCCGGGTTCGATTCCCCACATGGGTAGAATGTGTGAAGCCCACTTCTGGTGTCCCCCACTGTGATATTGCTGGAATATTGCTAAAAGCGGCGTAAAACCATACTCACTCCCCTCAACATTGTATAAGCTCCTTATTTTGCGTAGGCTAAAAGTGCTTTTACTGCCATAGAGGACCCTTTGCACTGACAACTGTACCTGTGTATATGACTGAAGATTGGTCGGTGTGTAAAGTAGCGCGCTGCATGTACAGACTGATATCTAGGATGTTGCATTGTCACATACTAGTATAGGTTGTGTCCTGCAGCATGCATGGCTTAGATTTCCCCATGGACTTGGTGTGAGCTTGAAACTTGACTCTCAAGGTTAGACACTTTTATAGTTGTCTCAACTTGAAACTCTACTTAAACGATTTTGTTGTTTACTTGGTTTGTAATTCATGTCTCAAGTTTAATCACCTTGGTGTTTGAAACTTGACTCTGGAGCTAAAAGACTTCTGTTTTTTGCCAGTATTTAATTGTACCTCAAGTAATGAGAACAGCCACAGTAAATGTTGTTGTTCATATGGATATCAGACATATTTTCTTGAGTTATTTCAAGTTGAGCATATTTCCTGCTAACAAACTCTAGTTGCTCATGGAACATCTTCCTTAGGCAGGGGAATAAACTACTGGTAACTCCCGTTTCTACCTTTGCCGAAATTGGCTGAAATTTTTGAGTTAGGATTTGTCAGGACTAACGTGTCTGTACATGTTACAATCAAGATGACATAAATCAACATCTCTGGTTCATGAACTGCATTGTAGGATTGATTGTAGAATTTGCAAAGGATCTGTACTGTCAACTGAGAGTTGACAGCTATTTTCCAATGTTTTCATGTTTTTAATAAACATGGTAAAGTGATATGATGCAATTCAAGAGATAAAACCTGTGATACTGGTCTTGACTGCATACTGCCATTTTCTTTAAAGCAAATACAAGTAATATGATAGGTGAAATCTGATTGGCCAGTGGGAAGGGAGATAACACATAACTCCCACAGAGGGCGCTACTACGATCAAGCCACAAAATTCCAGCCCCGTTTGGCAAGGGTAGAAACTGGTATTATATAGTCCGTTAACTCCCTTTCCCTGGAGTCCACTCATGAAAGGATCTCTATTTATGTATAAAGAATATTTTTAATCATAGCCATATTTTTGCTGTTGTATATGGACTAGTGTGATGAACTGTATTGTACATAGTTCTGTATACCAAGTGTTGCTAATCAACTAAACTGCCTTACACGCTGCTTGGTGCCTTAAGGCACTCTGCCTCGAGTTCTATTCATTTCATGAAAATAGTTTGTAATCTTATAAATCTTCAACACCTTTTTTACTCTCTGACTGAAACATATCAAATTTGTGAAAATGACTGACTTGAATTTCTTATTTTACATATTAGTCTGTTTGCAGTGAAAACGTACTGATAAATTTCACTTTAAACAAAAAAGTAAATCAAATAATGCAAAATTAAGATTGCGAATCCTCATAATTTTACCTTGCCAATTGAACAGTTAAATCTCAGAATTTTACTCAACTTAGGATAAAAGTTGTTTAACA